CCTTGACGTCTACAAAACTATTTCTGAAGTTTGGCTAACCTTCCTTGACGTCTACAAAACTGTTTCTAAAGTTTGGATAACCTTCCTTGACGTCAATTAAACTGGCCACTAAACATCGATATTCTCTTCTTCTCCCTTAGCTGTAACTCGTAAACCACAGTGTTCCTACGACACACCAAAAAATTGTCAATACTCATTAGGATGTTCCTTTTCAAACTTAGAGCAGCAACTGATCCACGATAAGATAGTTACAGATCTCGGTCTCTGATCAGTAAACCATTATGTGAGTTATATGAAAGTAGATAATCTACCTTATGGTGCCACACAATATCCTGGTTAAGACTTATCTTGCTTTAAGAAGTAACGTTTATAGATTATATTATGGATCCTGATAGAATAGAACTGAGTAAGTTGGTCAAATAGTGTCTTTCACCAAGATGTTACAGCCTCACTTGGAAGCCAAGACTTCGACTCATAAAAAGTGCAGAAATTAGTAACAAAAAATGTGTAAATGGTTGGAATGTAGGGGTGGAAGAGATCAGAAACTAGGGAGCATCTGGAATGGGAGGAAAATTTGAGTTAACCATTCCTGCATTCTAACGTGTATATGCATCCATTCTGTGAGTGCATTGTATGAGTATTGGAATGAAGAAATAAGTAACGCAGATTTTCCTCCCATCCCAAATGATTTCTAGTTTCTGATTTTTTCCATCCCTACAATTTTAGAATAAAATGTTGTGTTACTAGCTAATGCAGGAATGTGAAGTTTTCTTTCAAGCGGTAAGTAACGTATGAAATATTATATACAGAAAACGTGTTCACAGGATTAAAAATTAAGTTGCATTGATGAAGTTTTCACCACTATGTTTTATTATATGGTAAGAGAAGAGAAAATGTAGAATTTTAAGCTTTGGAATATTTTAAAATACGTTAAAGAATATCTTTAAATCACAACCAAAAATGTTAAGGGGTTTGGTTGTTGTTGATAAGCGTACAGCTACACAATGGGCTATCTGTGCTCTTCTTTTTTACAGGTATCGAAATTCGATTTTTAGCGTCATAAGCCTGCTGACTTCACGTTGAGCAACTGGAGGACATGGGGTAAAAGTTTTTAGTGAAATCATTCTTACACCGGATGTGAAATTAGAGTGTGGTTTATTTACTCAAACCAGTTTATTGTGTACCACAACTTGTGGAACATTAATACTGGTAAGAGTTAAGTTCTGAATGAATAAATGTCTTTGAAAGAATCAAGTCCAATTGTGAAACGAGTATGTCCCCCCCCCCTCATTGCAGGAACAGATATGAGAATCCTGTACATTCTTCCAGTTAGTGCAACATCTAACATCACGCACTGATTTGAAGAATCGAATATACCACATAAAAGTTGTTCCAGGAGTATTCTATAACAGGGGCTCCTAACCCTCAGTCCTAGTTTTAAATTTTAACAACTTCGTAAAAATTGGTCTGCAAAAAAACCAAAAAACCTCAAAAATCTGCAAATTTAATAAAAGTCAGGGCCCTTGACTGTGTTACATTTCCAAATTGGGTAATTAATAGTGTAAAAATATATTTCAACTGTATCATATGAAAGGAGTTAGACCCACTCTTCTTTGCTGGTCAATCTATTACTTCAAAGCAGTCTAGTTCGATTGGATCGCGAAGGTCCAACAGCACACCAATACATACCGTTAAGCTGTGAGTCTGATTTACTCAGCACAACGATATCTGTACGTCTGTTCTTACTGAACTGTCACACAAACGAACACTTTTAGTGATGTTGTACCGAGTCATGTCTTGTTTTTTACGTTGATCGTTGGTAAAGAGAACAGAGGCCTAATGTAATTGCTGCCCCGATTAAAGCGACACAGCGGTAAGTCTCTGGACTAATAATGCTAAAATCCGGGATCCGATAGCAGTAGTGGGCAAAGAACAGATACCCCATTGTGTAGCCTTTTGATTAACTACAAACAAATGATAAAAATCTGAATTTTTCGGCTAGTTACAAAACTCAGCAGGTCTTCCCTGGTCTACACTGAAAGCTTATCTGAGTCGGTTTGTTTATATAGTACTGAACTGTGATCTGAGTCATGTTGTGTAAATAGTACTGAACTGTTATCTGAGTCATGTTGTGTAGATAGTACTGAACTATTAACTGAGAGAAATACTGTGTAGATAGT